CAACTAGACTGAAGAACAAAAGGACAGCAACTTGTCTGTTCCCCTTCCCCCAATTCCCCAGCGCTGTTCCCATCCCCAAATTCCCCAATAAAAATCTTAAAAAAAAAAAAAAGAATGAATTACTGATTTGTATACTAATCCAGTGTTTTCTAGAAATAGGGTTGCTGGATTAAAAGATATACATACTTAATTTTGTACACACTTCAAATTAACCTTCAAAATGGCTGTGCCAAGTTATGATCTCACTATAGCCATTGAAGGTGTCTCCCCATATTTGCTAATACTGGATAGTTTTATTTAGAAAGAAGAAAATGATGCCAAAGATGAAAATACTATATTCATAATTTGAAATTCTTTAATTACTTAGTGATGTGGATATCTTTTCCATATGACTTCTAGTTGTATAGTTTTCATAAGAATGATTCTTTTTTTGCTTTCCTATTGGAATTCTTAACTTTTTAAAAAGAGATCCTACTGGGATTTGTTTTTGAAACGTATCAAGCATTAAGTTAAGTGACCAAGACAGACACCATCCCCCCTTCATAGATTTTTATACTCTGGTGAGGAATATGGACTGGCAAACTTGAGTATCATTATTCTGTATGAAAAATGTTATGGGTGAGGTACAGGATTGCCTGAGTTGACATAGATCTGAGGCACGGGAGAAGCTTCCGAGAGGAAGCTGAGACCTGAAGGAAGAGGTTGCCAGGCAGTAAAGGGAGTAGAAGAGTTTGAGGGTAGATGAACAAGCGTTAAGGGGTATGAAAGTGAGAGATCATTACTTCCTTTAAGAACTTCTAGTCATGCTAAATTACTTGAGCTTAGAATTTGTTGATGGTTATATGTGATGGACTTGAAGAGGTTCATTCCCAAAGGGCCTTCTAAACTGTTTAAAAAGTATGCTGTCATTCCTGATTGGTTTGGGAAGCTATTGAGGGGTTTTGTGTGTGTGTTGACTAAATCAGTTTTGTGTGTGTGTTGAATGGTCAGAAAAGTTGATATCAGGGGTGACAAGACCAGAGGTTTTAAGAAGACCAGTTAGGAATTTCTTGTAATATTCCAAGCTGAAGATGATGGTGTCCTGATGATAGTGTTAATAGAGAACAGTAGGCGAATATAAGTGATATTGAAGAATGTTAGATATCTAAGGATGTTACCGTACTAAATACTGTAGGCAGTTGTAACACAATTTGTGTATACAGTATTTGTGTATCTAAACATAGGAAACATACAATAAAGATACAGTGTAAAAGTTAAAAAATATATCCGTATAGGACACTTACAAGAATGGAATTTGCAGCACTGGAAGTTGCTCTGGGTGAGTCAGATAAGAGACAGTGATTGAGCTTAGGGTGAGATGGGAATGTTCAAGTTGGGTGGATGGTGGTGTGATTCTCTGAGATGGAGAACTTAGAAATAGGTTTTGCAGAGAACATGATGGTTTCCGTGTTGAGATGCCTGTGGGACATCCAAGTCACTATCCAGTGGGCAGTTTTTGGATGGGTTTGGCACTCAGGAGAGAGGTTTGTTTAGAGTCAGATTTAGGATGGCTAGCATGGAAACACTACAGAGAAGCTCCACTGAAGAGGATTACAGGAGCTAGCTTGAACCCTAGTGCTCATGGAGGGTCTAGGAGATGAAATACCCGCTTGAATGCTGCTGAGGCAGCCCTGTGTAAGGAATAATAATCTTGTTATATTTTATTCTGCCTTCAAATGACCAACTTCCAGATAGCTTTTGAATTATATCCCTTTCATGAGTCAGAGATGCTTTTATATTTTGTTTTAAACCATTTCAAATCAAAAGAAAAAAGCGTAGAGAAAGATAAATCACAAAAGTACCTACATTTTTTATTATTGTATTATGTTAGAAAATCACTTTAGCCTCAAAGTTAAATTCATTGTCACAACTCTTAAAATACCCAGAAGGAACTAAAATAATGAAAACATGCTTGAGAACTGATGTTACTAGCTACTGTAGGAAAGGTTTTTTGAATTCTACCTACATTTATAATTATTAAACAGAATTTACTGAAATATCTGTTATAGGTTGGACATGGCAAATTACATTACATTTTAAAGTTAAGAAATTGTTATTTATATATAATGCTCAATTCTTAAATGATCATTTATCCAATGTCAGAACTTATGGTGTGTAACTGAATTAGTAACATATTATAAATGTATGGAGTTTCGTTATGCTGAAACACTTTTTTTTTATTGGTTATAATTTTTTCTGAGAAGTGTGCTTCTCACTATAATCTCTTTTTTGTTGTTGTTACACAGGCAGAAGAAAACCTTGGAATGGTGATGATCTTTACCTTAGTGACAGCTGTGCAAGAAAAATTAAATGAAATAGTAGATCAAATAAAAACTAGAAGAGAAGAAGAAAAGAAACAAAAAGAAAAAGAAGCGGAAGAAGCCGAAAAGGTATATTAAAAACCGTGTTTTATTTCACTGTTCTCCAAGCCTGCTTTTTTTAGTTGTTATTTTTTTTGAAATTTCATTTTTTTGGAAGTTACAAAAATAAACAAAAGTAAATTTTAGTAAAACTTCACTAAGTAAAATTTTAGAAGTCTCATTTACTTGGTGGCATAGCACAAGTAATGATTAATAATCAGTTAATAAGGGTTAGTAAAGTTCATGCAGGTAAGATCAAGAAATATAAATTATTTCACTTACGGTATAGAGTTTGGATTTATGAAGCCCTCACCAGAGTTTTTTATTTATTTATTTTTTTTCATGTAGGAGTTGAACCGGCAAGCTTGCTGTTAAGAGCACATGCTCTATCCACTGAGCCAGTTTTTTAAATACAGTTAGGCATAGCTTAACAGATAAATGTTCTATCTGAAATGCATCATTAGGTGATTTCTTCATTGTGCAAACATCATGAGTGCACTTAACACAAACCTAGATGGTATAGCCTGCCACACTCCTAGGCAATTATGTCATGGCCCTTTACTCCTAGGCTGCAAGCCTCTCCACGATGTTACTGTACTAAATACTGTAGGCAGTTGAAACACAGTTTGCATATACAGTATTTGTGTATCCAAACATAGGGACGGTACAATAAAAACACAGTATAAAAGTTAAACAATATACCTGTATAGGGCATTTACCATGAATGGAGCTTGCAGGACTGGAAGTTGCTCTGGGTGAGGCAGTGAGTGAGTGAGGGGCACGTGAAAATGAAGGCCTAGGACATTACTGTACACTACTATAGATTTTATAAGCACTATACTTAGGCTACACTAAATTTGTAAAACAACGTGACATTACATCAAGCATAAGAAAAAATGATGTAATCAAGAGATGCAGTAAACATGAGATGTATGAGGTTGCTGCTGGTGTGACATGGCACACTGTTTCTTAGCAACCTTTTTTTTTTATGAGTATAAAGAGTACATTCTAAAATAATGATAAAAGGGATAGTATAGTAAATACATAAACCAGTAGCATAGTTGTTTATTATCATTATCAAGCATGTACTGTGCATAATTGTGTGTGCTGTATTTTTATACAACTAGCTGCACAGCGTGTTCGTACACCAGCAACACCAAAAGCACACAAGTAATGCGTTGTGATGTTAGGACAGCTATGACATCACTAGGCGAGAGGAAAAATTTTCCCATTCATTGTAATCTCATAGGCCCACCGTCTTATAGGTGGCCTGTCATTGACCAAAACATTATTATACAGCACATGACTGTATTTACTAAAGTAAAGAAAACCTCAAATTCTGAAATTAAGTGAAAAGATAAGCTACGTACTAGTGTTGTAAATTGATGTGTGTTCAAAACATTAATACTGACAGCAACAATTGTCTTCTTAATAGTTAATAGCAATGGAGATACATTGCATATTATCTTTGATTTGTGTAATAAAAATAAAAAATGGACTTGTCCAGAGTAAAATTGCCAAAACCAGTGGGAGTAGCCAGTGCAGGCAAAAATCACACTAAATATTTCAAAACTTGAAAAAGCTTTTCTGTGTTTTACCTAGAAGATCATTGGACTTTATTTTTTAAACTGTTGTCTCATTTATCTGGTGACATGTCTTTTCTTTTCTAAGCAATTATTTCATGGCACTCCTGTTACAATTGAAAATTTCTTAAGTTGGAAGGCCAAGTTTGATGCAGAACTCTTGGAAATTAAAAAGAAACGAATGAAAGAAGAAGAACAAGCAGGAAAAAATAAATTAAGTGGTATGACTCTCCCCTATCTCTGTTCCCCCCTGCCCCCAAACTCTTCTGCATTACTTCTTACATAGCAAGAGAATCATTTGGACAGTTTTCTATGAGATCATATACTTAGGCACGTAGGACAGAAATAGAAGCATTCTCTCTACTTGATTATGTACCTTCACACATAATTATAATTAATATTTATGAATTGCATTTGATCTGAATATTGCACTGGATAGATCTTGAGATACAGCTACCATGACTTTCAGGATCATCAGCCTTAGAAGTGATAGAGTCAAATACATTTGTTTTTCTAGGACTCTAAGGCAGACTAAGTTGTCACTTATTCTATTTTAATGCAAGTACATTTCATATGCCTCTTAGCTGAGTTCATGAATTTATTGAAATTCACAGTAAAACAGGTTTTCAGACTTGTTTTCTTGGGTTTTTATACTTTTTAAAGGGTTGTAGAGAAGATGGGGGAAACCATGCTCTTCAAATGAAACATATTTCTTTCTTTTAGGGAAACAGCTATTTGAAACAGATCATAATCTTGACACATCTGATATTCAGTTCTTGGAGGATGGTAAGATAATGTTAGAATTCCACCTGTACATATTATACTGTTTCTAATATAAAACCATGAAAATCAGAGTGATAACTTAATGTAAATCTTTCCTCCCAGGGGTGTAAAGAAATACATTTTGAAGGATAAATTGTAATGTTTGATCAATTTATACATTAAACTATAGCAATGTAGTCTTTAAAGTTTTCTCATAAACTTAAGCAAAATCAAAGATAGCAATAGATAAACAATTGTGGTCTATTAGCCTCTAACAACTAGTAAACCAGGCCACTGTGACTTATGTGACCTTTTTTCCTCAAATTCCTAGTATCATAAACCTATGGAAACTACCCCATGGTGTCATGGAGCTTTATAAAAACCTGAGATCTGGGACTCCCCTTGCCGCTAACCAGAAATCTTACATTTCATACCACTCTTGCTATCCTTGGGGCATCTCGTCCCTTATGTTATCCTTCTTCTTCTTTGTATCCTAACTCTGCCCGCTTTCAGTCTTCTGTCTATCCGTTGTCCATCCGTCCACAAGTATTAATTGTACCCCTGCTGTAAGCCGAGCGCCCCCCTGGTCATCGAGGACACAACAGAGCAGCTTAGAAAACTTCCTGTCCTCATGGGGCTTGTGGTGTAGTCTGCTTCTTTTCTTTTTTTTAAAGATTTTTGTTGGGGAATTGGGGGGATGGGAACAGTGCTGGGGAATTGGGGGAAGGGGAACAGACAAGTTGCTGTCCTTTTGTTCTTCAGTCTAGTTGTGGAGGANCTTATACGGCGAGTATATAACAAACTCTGTATTTTGAGTGGAAATGTTAGGGGGTCGTCTTATACGCCCAGTCGTCTTATACGCCGGCAAATACGGTATATAGTATATACTCACATGTATTCACAAAGCATCCTTATTTTTGTTTCCCACTGTATCTTTAAACTTTGAGTAAGAGATGTCCCCGTACCCGTTTGAAACTCAGTCAGCTCCATGACTTTTAGATGATAAACAGTCTGATAGGTACTTTGAACTATAAACAACACAGCTTCAATTTGGTTCTCAGAATAATCAGTCCCAGGTGCAGTTAAAAATTCTAACTTTTGAAAAAATTGTAACTTCCAACCTCTCTGACCTGCTGCAGGCTAGTTGCCTACAGTCTGGGAAGAGGACTGGTGACTGATTTGGTTTTTTCCTGTATCTCTTCCCTAAACTTACAAACAGCAACGACCGTGTGTGACTCCTCTAAGAGGGGAGTTTATGTGGAAATAGAAAGGGGTATTGGGAAGCTCTTACTTGGCTAATTCTGTGGTGGGATGGGCTACCACATCCTGGGTGTTTAGATCTGTCTCTTGCTTGGGGAGAGAGTTTCCATGGGTTCTTCAGAGTAGGGAGGAGGGTGGGCAAGTAAAATCTTTACCACTGTAAAATCAGGAGTCCTGGTTCTGTTTGTTTCTTCTAAGAAGAATTGACAGGAAACATATCTCTACCTTAAATATGACTTGTATATGTTAAAGACCATTGGTCTTCTGAATGCTGATATTTTAAAAATATCTGGAGCTATTAGAGAATGAAGAGTGAAAGAAGATAGATCAAACACGAATTTATGCTGATCCTGGGCCCTGTTCACCCTATTACCCAGTATGAAATTATACTAATTCTATTATCATTTGGCATAACATGCTTCATTGTAAAACACTGCAGAGAACCTGGGGCAATATGCTATATTCAGTCAGTCATGTATTTAATATAAGTTATTTGATCTGAGTGATTTTTTTTCTATGCATTTTATATTTTATTCATACTCAAACTTCTCCCTTTCCAAAAGAAAGTTTTAATTTCTTTCTAATTCTTACCTTAGATCAGATGTATTGAGGGAATATTTGTAATTTTTCTCTAAAAATAGTTGTATTAATTTTTAACTATCAAAATATAAATTCATATTACAAAACACTCAGAAAATACAGGAAATCATGAAGAAGAAAATAACGATTACTCTTACTCTCACCAGCCAGGTATCATTGCCTGTTAACATTTTGGTGTGATACAGTTCCAGACCTTTTTTCTTACGCTTACATTCAGAGTCCCCCTCTCTTACCCCTAGTTAGATCATTCTATATATAATGTTTTATAACATTCTTTTTTCACATAACAATATACAAGAGGGCATCTTTCCATTTTAGTAAACATATATATGAATCATTATTTTTAGTAACCGCATACAATTTCACTATAAGTATGTGTAATTACACATATCCTTTCTGGAAAAACTTCAAATTATTTCTCATTTTCTCTTGTTTTACTATATAACTCTTTGAACATTCTTATATATCACTATTTGCAAATCCTTACAGCAGAGTCTACATTGAATCTCTAGTACCTGGCACATAGTAGACACTCAAATATATATATATATATATATATATATATATATATATATATATATAAAATCTCAAAAAAATGAGCAATTACATTTTGTTTAAAATGTAAATATGCATAGAAAGATTCAGTAAAACCTTGGATTGCGCGTAACATGGTTTGCGAGTGTTCCTCAAGACGAGCAAACATTTCTAATACATTTTAACTTGGTAAACCAGCGACGTCTTGCAATATGAGTAGTTTGTTTCCGGAACGAATTATGCTCACAAACCAAGTACATTTTAACTTGGTAAACGAGCAGTGTCTTGCAGTATGAGTAGTTTACTTCCAGAACAAATTATGCTCGCAAACCAAGGTATTACTGTACTTTAAAGTATCCTTTTAAACAATACTTTAAAGATATTATAATTTAAATATACTAAAATGGTAACAGTGATCGCTTCCTGATAATGGGATTATTATTGATTTTATTTTTACCTTAGTGTATTTCTAAATTTTTTATAACGAATGTCTATTATATCATATAGTAGAATTAACAATTTGTTTTAAAAACTTCTTTTTTTAGCAATAAAATTAAAAACTGTTAATAAAAAAAGAAAACTGCCAAAGACACTGTGTATTTCTTACTGACCTAACACTCTTTCTTATAGCCATTGACCATAAAATATTTGGTTGACATCCTACACAAAATTAATACAAAAGAGCAAACCAGCACATTTTAAGGTGTTTTTTTTTTCTCCCATGGAGAGAAAACTAGATTTGAGTTAAAATCATCAAAATCAGAAGGTTTTAATAATTAAAATGTGAGTTACAAGAAAGGCGAAATCTAGACAAGGGATCATGGTGGCTAATAAGTTTTAACAGAATATGTGTATTACATCAGCTTAGTTGCCAATTGCTTAGTGAAACTGAGAATTCACTAGGCTGGGCTACAGAGAGAGACCTTGTACCGATGTGCCTATAAGAATCTCACTCCTATACAAGCGTGAAATCTTTGAATTGGCACAGGCCCAAAGAGTGAGAATGTATAGATGAGTCAAGTTAAAACTTTCTCAGACAACCTCTCAAACTGTGCAGTTCAAAACCATGTCATCCAGCAACCCCTTGCAACCCTCTGCTGGCATTGTACAGACAGAAATATGGACTCCAGGAGTAACACCAGATCTGCACTGGGAACTCAGTCTAGTAGAGGCCTGAAAATGAGCCTTATTCAGTACTTTTTCTGTTATATCCAGTGCCTTTGTTCGTCTTAAGGAGGGTTTTTAAAAGAGTGGCTTTTATCCATCCTCTTTCTCAGACATGCAATATGGTAGAATACTAATAAGTAGTAAGTGTATTTCATGTGTTATAAGTGATTTTTGGTATTCCCATGATTTTCACTTATCTTTGTGGTATGTGTTGTTCATATTAGTGATTTTTCTGTCTGGTCTCATAGTAACCTTGTTTTTCTTTGCAGGAAAACCTAATGTACTTTTCATTGACACATTGTAAATTAATTACTGATTCAACAAAGATGTAGACTTCTCTGTACTTTACATTTTAAGGTATTCATATCAAACTCTTACCTTGTGTCTTTAGCTGTCCAGACTACTCTGAAGTTTACATACAGTGAAAAATACCCAGATGAAGCCCCCCTTTATGAAATATTCTCCCAGGAAAATCTAGAAGATAATGATGTCTCAGGCATTTTAAAATTATTAGCATTACAGGTAAGGAAATAAGTTTTGTTATTGCATTATTTTATTTGCCTTAATATTATATATATGAATTTCAAGAGTCAGAAAATGCTATTAAATATATATAATTAGTACACTGAACAAGCAGAATTCATTATATATATATATGCGCACATATATATACATATGTATATATATGCATACCGTATTTGCCGGCGTATAAGACGATTTTTTGGCCCTGAAAAATATGCCTCCAAGTGGGGGGTCGTCTTATACGCCAGGTACACTTCAG